TATCAGGCGGGTTTTGCTATGAATTCACGTAACGCCACTGAACAAGATGAGAAGACTGTTGTATTACAGTAGTTCGGTTAGCAAAGGAAGTCAGAATGCACCCATTAACATTACGAAGCAGCTTGAGGACTATCATCAAATCTAAGCCATACCAGTATTCCAAATTGCTGTGTGGATTCACAGCGCTGGCAAGGGAAGACCTGACCGTGACGGCCAACCACTGTCCTCTGCACAGGCAATAAGCTGCATGGCAATCGAGGATGGGTCGGGCTATATCGCAGTTAGGTTTCAATTCGTAATGGTCGACTGTCTTCCCCCATGGCTCAGTGGCATAAGCTGCTGGTTAGTTGGCGTTAGCCTCTAGCAGTCAAGGGTTCGATCCCCAGTAGGGGACTGATGGGTGAGCACCACTGACGAGCCCCAATAAAGTGAAACGCGCGTCTGGTGCTTTGCCGGATTGGTAGCTTGCCTATGCGGCTTAGCATCTAATTGCGATGAACTAACTTGTATCATCGAATTTGTCCAAACTGTTATCCTGCACAAGAGACTCATTTCCTCTGTGGCCTTTGCTGCCGTTCGCACAGTAAATACGGCAGCGGGCATTTCTAGTCCTGGTATAGGCACGGTTCGAATAAAATAAACTCTGGACTTACCAGTTATCAGATAGGTGTTAACAATGACTTCGACCTTTGTGCATCGCAACTATAATGCATCACATTAACCGGTCTCAAATGCGTGTTAAAAGCAGTTCAAAAGTAAGAAAGATGTAGTACATACAAGCGGCGTAACACATACTTTTATGGAAAGGCCGTTAAGTCCATGCGTTCTCGACAACTATGGGTTCCAAGCACGTCACTTATTTGTTGAGGCGGGACCATCCTATTTAAAATTCTTTCGTACGAACTTTTGTCATAGTAGAATTGAAGGTAGCAGCACCTGTGTGATGACGCCGAGAGGAACGTAGACGGAATCGTAAAATAAGTATATGACCATCAGAGACAACATTTTCTCAATACTGTCCAGCTTGAAGTTTGTGCGGTCCTGGGCGCCTTTCCACATTAAAGCAAGAGGACTTTAGTCCAAACTATCGCCAGCTCGATATCGTATTCTGAGTAACCTTAGTTCCCAATTGGTCAAAAACGCAATAACCGCTCCTCGACTACTGATCTACCTTGTCAAATAAAATCCTCCATTGGCCAATATACTAGTAAGATGCTTAAAGCTTTCAAGCGTTTCGTGGATAGAATCAACATTGAAGAAGCAATGGTCCAGGTACAAACGACTGGTGACCTTAATAACTTCTGTACGGAATTGAACTCCATTATCGGTAATGACTTGACGTTAAGTAAAGCTTGCACAGCTACGTGACGAAGTGGCTCCAAACGGATGTACTACCATGTGCTATTCAGTAGGAAGGAAGTAAACTGTATTTTTCTTCCCTCCTTAAAAATTTTAAGTAATTCCTGTCACCAGTGGGAACCATGACTTGGCGGAACACTGTTTCTATGACCGGTGCGATTGCGAGCAACTCAGACCTAAAACGCAAGGTAGACTCAGCTAAAATGTTAAGCGAATCGGGAGCATGTAAAAGCTGTTGATTGAGAGCAGTACTGCGGTAAAAGGCCTGATTTGGAAAACTACTGGTTTTAGAAATTTCAACGCGGATTCTATACTGACTGATGTGGTAGATACCAGGTTACTCCTTTTATCTGTTCCCCGCTTAGTGGAGCCAGTTCGACATATTACTTATCTACGTACTGTTGCACTGTCTTGGTGTATGTCTTGAGTAGCCTAGTATGCTTTAACAGCCGCTAATTCACCAGTGTCAGTTTTATCAGTGCGACCTGTGTATTATCAGGTAACGGTGGACTCGTAGCCTACCCAGATGATGCGGTCTCATAATGACGGCCGACTGTCTTGACGGAAATCTCCACGAGTTTGAGTGTACTTTAGTCGTTCAAGGACGATCCCGGACTGTCAAATCCATGTAAGTCCGTTTCATTCATTTGTTCGAGTAAATGATGTAGGTCGGTGGTTATGAGGTGAACCGAATTCATCCTATCGGTGCAGTCCACTACAACTGACTTAGACTAATTGCCCATAAATTCTGACAGGTTGCTCTGAACCAACATTAGCAAGCCCAATGGCGCCCAACCAGCATACAGATCACTAGTACCCCATAGCCCAGTACAAATATGATTTATCATTTCCAATACAAAAGTGCATGTTCCTTTTCGATTCTGAAAACCGTAAATCGGATAGGTAAGACCATAAATAGAAATAATTTATTCTTCTGCCTGACTGATCTGAGAGAGTTTAACCGGATTGCCTTAAGGCCCTCTATCAATTTAACATTTACACTAACCGACGACATTGGCTGGCATCGACAAGCAACCGTATGTACAGGATGGCGCATGAAATGCCATACCATTTGTTTTGTTCATTACTCATGTACTTCTCACAAAAATATTACAAAATTAGTGCAATATTAATTGTATGAGCATGGAAATTTAGTTCAATGTAGTATGTGTTTAATGTGACCACCATTGTGTTGCACAACACTCCTTCAAATGTCTTCCGAAATTTGTAAGCACATCTGTGTGTTGAGAGCCCTGAGTTGAGCTGCACTTGTATGCTTCCTTGCGAAGACATTATCTTCCAATTTGCCCCGAAAGCAGAAATCACATGGATTGATGTCAGAGCTATGCGATGACCACTGTCTCCTATCTTCGTGATGCTCAGGAAACCGATGTGACATTACCCGCCCATCAAACATATCATACAGGTAATCAGAAACAATATTTGCTGTGTGTGGGTGGCTCCGTCTTGCACGAACCATTGAGTTTACAATGTGAACCCAGTTGCCAAGAGTTCTGGAATTAATCCGTTTTCCAACATGACCTTAGATGAAACATTGTTTATCATATCAAAAAGAAAAAGTGTCCGATGATTTCATGGAATGAAATCGCTGCCCATACCCTGGCCTTTTCTCTATAATTTTCCCTTTCGCACAGAATGCGAGGATGTTCGCATATCCAGAAACGAACAGTTTACTTTTTCACTACACAATTTAAATGAAAATACTCCTCGTCAGTAAACCACGGGATGTACAGAATGTGATACTCGTGCACTAATCATGAGGCGAACTAACGTCTTCGTTGTTTGTCCTCTGCTGTCCATTTATGGACAAATATTGTAACGTAATATTTGAAGATAAGAATGAAAAATCCGTTGTTGATTTGCTAGAACTTTATGTCAAAGCAACTCGAACGGCTTCTATGTTTTCAGTGGTGCGGACACTAGGTAGGCGCCGTCGATTCTTCTCCATCAAGGAGCCAGTTGTTTCAAACTGAAGATACAATCACTGAATAGTCGCCTTACATGGAGCCTATTTAGTATGAAAGTGTGCACGAAACGTCCTTGTGTCGCTACAACACTCCTCGTTTCGGTAAAAGCATTTCGATTTTCACCTTCTGTTTAACACCCAATCCTGCAAATGGTGTTTGGCACTGAAGAAATATTCCGTACAAATTTCTTGTGACGTTTACCAGATTTCTCATAAACCAAAGTATATGAATACGAGTTTTCAACATTCCATCTATAACATTACATGTGTAATGAACAAAACAATTGGTATGACCTTTCGCATGCTCCCCTCTGTATGCTCAGTGTCCACCGACCTGCTGGTTAGCAGAATCGGAAGTCCTTTCGGATTTCCTGTAACAAGCATGTTAACTAGAACTAGAACGCCCAGGTCAAATTCGGCAGAAGATCATTGTATTAGTTGGGTTAATGGGCTGAATGGTGTAGTTAGTCTGAGATTGCATGGAAAGTCCCTTGCATTTACCCACTTTGGATTATAGGAAATTTTCGGCTGACCACTGATAAACCACATCTACGGTACACTGCAACAACCGGCGGTTGGTAATCAGCTGGATTGCAAGGAATATACGAAGGTTATACTAAGTAACCGCACGAGACAGGATAGAGAAACTGTAGGCCAGTAAATCTATTAAATTCGCAAATCTCGGTAGAGAAAATGAAACGTAATTTCCAGTTAAACTGGTTTTATAATTCAAATTTAAGATGGTGACCAACTTACGAATACGTTTGCAATCGTATTGTGAAGGGACGGAAATTGGAAGACGAGCGGCTGCGTGCGGAAACGGTACAGCGCAGCAGCTTGCTAACGGGCCGCGTGACAAGCTTGAAATAATTGATGTTCCGAAGTGAAAAGGGAAAGCGTTTCACAATACACCTTTTCAAAATAAACATGTGTACATTCGTGTAAGGAAATAAGTGGAGCTTATTGGAATACGAATATCGTGTTCTCTAATAGCTTATCCAGTTTGGATGAATAACCAAATTTCTAATTGGAGTTTACAATTTGTATGGCGATGGAAGACAAATCGAGCTACAGCACTGTTAACTTGTGAAACTTGACGACCGGCTAATTTCTCCCATGGATCAGTTTCATACGCTGCAGACTCGCGGTCTAAGCCCTTGGTAGTTATAGGGTTGTATCATGATGGAACCCATGGATACGCATTATTAACAAGTCAAAAAAGCTCGAAACCACTGTCTGATGCCTCTCCGGATATATGGAGGACTATGTGATTTGGCAACTGCTGCTTTGAATTCTTCATTAATTGACTTGTTATATGTTGCAACGCATAATGTGTCTTTTTCCTGGCAATTAAAGGACAATACAACGTCCGATCCAATCGTTTTATAGACAAAAGGATGCTTGGTACGTTATGCGCGTTGTGTCAACCAGCACAGCAAATCACCACCCATCGAATGATCAAAAAATGAGACACCTATCAGTGCTACGATTGTTTGAGGTCAAGCAGTGCATTGTCTGTCAACCTTCGCGTATTCGTCGGTTACCTTTGCGAACTAGAGCTCTATTAATTCCAAGTACGATGACAGTACATGGTCACAACTTTGGAGAGCATTTGAAAACTAGATTTCAGACTCTTCTTGTAGAGTGTTGTGGAATGCTGGACACCGGTGAAGTGCGATTTAAAAAAGGACCAGTGCAAATTCCAGAAAACAGGATGCAAGCTTTCGGTCTATCTGAGTTAACTGTATCTGGCAAGAAGACCGACGTAAAAGACAAATTTATAAATCATTGTTTCAATCGGCAACAGAACTATCGGCAAACGAGTCATCAGTCAATGCAAAATGCACCCCAGCCGAGCGGGTTCATCAACACTTGTTGCTTTGGCTTAAGTGCAGAGAAGAAAATGAGCCATCAAGTGCCTGACTCAGGGACTGTTACAACTAGCACAGTTTCAAGTTTGCAAAAAGTGGAACCGCTTTCACTCCAATTTAGTCTGGCTACTCGACCTTTATCGGTGAGTAATATTTACAAGGAAACCCACTTATTTCATCGCTATTCAGAGCAAATTAGGTGCCCAAAGTACTGACAATTTATTGCCCATCGACAACTTCCTGAGGCCAGTTAGGATACTTTAAGTGTGTTTTGGACAGAAATTAACAGATTCTATGAAATATACCGAGGGAACAATGGCAAAATACTAAGGGCGCGTGGGCTGTATTAGTCTGGATCGAATAGGGAACTCAAATAAAGGAATTGCGAAGCGGCGGTAGCAGACTGTACATTTTCGGGTGGACCTTTTGAATTAAAAAAGGGAAGTGTGCAAGTGTGTCAGGATTTAGCCAATTTGTGGTATGCTTTGGCTCTTTCTATTTCGCCTGCATCGTTCTGAAATACGCTTTGCCACAAGGTGGCAAAATTAGGCGGTGTCGTTGTAGTCCATTTGCTAACAGATGAAACTTCGTACATTTGTACATTAGGCAGCGGAGTTTATTAAGATGCATTCTTGCAAACATTTGTTAATTGCAACTCCTTGCTGAATCTTTTTTACACGCAAGTTTTTGAACACTTTAAAAAGGGTCCGCGTAAATTTTTCATTAGTGTGGCCTTTAGAAAAAGTGGTTCTTACGAAGAGAAATCACGTGCGTCGAGTTATTTGCTCCTGGTAAATAAAACTTAGTCTGTACCTAGCTCACACTTCAGCATAGAAATTCTGCCAGGTCTTTGTGCTGCAATTGTTGCATGGAATCTTGCGTCAGTGCAAGTGCCATGAAAAACTACTGGCGGCGGGTTTCTTCAGCTTTGTACTTTTCCCAACACTAGACGTACTTACGCACAAATGGCACTAGCAGAATGGGCAGGTTATCATTTTATTTCACACAGCTTATAGACCTTACTTTCGCTTTGTTATTAAATGGCACCGGGCCGGTTTTTATTTGCTTACGGATGAGCAGCTTTAGCAGGGGTCACGTGACTGCGAAAGCGTGCACAACAGCGCGTCTAAAAGGATTGAGTATTAGGCTAACTAGCAAACGGTGAAGTAATGATTCGGTCCACTGCCTCTACTGTTATACGTTAGTTAACCTATAGAAGACAAATTTCCTTACCATAATTCAGATATAAACCAACCAAAAATAGCCACATTATTGCTTAAATTAGCGCTCTCCATCAACGAAATCTACGTAAGTATACCATGTAAATCAACTGACAACAAAATAGGGATTCAGCTATAATAACCATGTTCTCGTTGTTGGAAAAATTTCCAACAAAATCAGAACATCACGAAACTCGTGTATTAGTGAAAGTATGCACAGAAGGAAGAATCCTGACGAGTGTCGACAGATTGTTTTCAAATAAATGGATTATTCTTATCGACCGAAACGAAGGACAAACTAACATCGAAATCCGCCTGAGAGAATCACGAGTAAATATGTTAGAATGTAACTGCCAACATAATGCAACTTCACGGAAGTTCCGTTTTAACGGTACCTTGCTGGTAGGTACATTGTGTAGGCTCTGATGTAATAATTGTAACAATTGAACTGCGTCACCCCCTTGATATATAGCCGTACGTGCATGGTTTATAGAAAACGGTGATTTTACTAGGTTACGATGACCAGCACGGCATTAGTTAGATGAACAGAATCAAATATCACGCAGGACTCGAGCGGAAAGGAGCGGTTGCCATTGCAAACCGCACGCGTCTGAATTCCAAGTGAAAATATTCGAGGTCCGTAACGCGTTGCTATTCTCAAGGAAACTGATTTTTCAGCGGTGTATATAGTTTTCACATCTAATGTGATGATAGAAACTTTTATGCACCTGTTTGTAATCTGCACTTTGTTTATCAGACTGTCCGGAAGGATTCATCATACCGACATGGACGGACAACAATGCTGCCTCAGTATGTACGAAGGCCCGTTCAAACGGAGCGTTCCGAACGCTACCTTGACCTCAGCAATTCCCGTATCACACAACCAGGGACACAAGTCCTTCCATCAAACAATCTATTGTTTAGAATAACAGGTGAAGAAAAGCCACAACTCACCTTGAATTCATTATTGGAACCCACCAAAAAGGTCACTATGAACGGTGCTGGTAATAACGATATTGAAGTGCTGTCTGAGGCTTGTGGCATTCACGAGCAGATAGATGCAAAGTACGAGACTTGGAAGCACAAGCCGATTGTGAAAAATTCAAATATTACAAATGACACGCAGGTGAATGCAGCTAGATCCTGGCTTCCCAAGATTGACGCTTTAACAGCGCAAAGGGGAAAAGGGGCCCTTCAGATGACTAATTGGTCTATTTTGACTGGGAGAAGAATTGGTCGAAAATCCAAGGATTCTCTCGGATCTATCTGGTCAGATATTTTACTCGATATCGACAATCCGCTGACAGTCAGACGCAAGAAGCTGGTCACCAACTGTCATCAGGTTGATGTAGCAAGTAGGCCAAAGGTCAATAAACCGTCGCTTAATCATATTGCCAAGCGTAAACATGAAGTAAGTGCTAAACATACCAAGTTTGAGTAAGCACAGTTTTAGGCAAAATAGAAGTGCAGTTCTAATACGACTTGTGAGTAAGCCATATAGATAGTTAGACTAGTGACAAAAGGCAATCAGATGTCTATTTTTCCTCTCAGTTACCAAAGTTAGCGGGCTGCTGGGTAGCCAAGACGAACTGTGTCAGTAAATGTAAAATCGAGCCCCTGTAGTCTTTCAGCCTATCCTCGTAGAATGTGGCTTAGAAGGTTTGTTGGATGACATTGAAAAGATTCGCTTAGTTGGAAGGTATTAAACCGCTTACCCCTTCAACTTTCCAATTACATTTTGTGATGCATAAAGGCGCACTGCTGCAATAGTTTTCTGGAGCCTTATGGCTAGTCTAACTGTAAATATGAGTTTCTGTGCACTGAACCAAATTTAATTGTCAACAGCCTACGTGGCATTTCGTCTGCGTTATTTCAAGTGAAAACATCAAAACACTTATTAGTACCGTAAAAGGAATATACGCGAAAGACTAACAAAAATGTCCGCTTTTCATTAAAAAACTCGAAACACAATTGTAAAATTTGTTTAAAAAGTATGGGATTAACTTGTATCCTTTGGTTCCTCAGATGAAATGGAGCAGGTTCACACACTACCGGAATATCAGCTGCAACTGATGGAAAATCGATTTCTTGTTGTATTTGATCATCAATCGACCTGTGGCCTTAAGAAATAGTTCAAACGAGTTGCTATTCCTTTGTTTAGCTGCTCTGTTTCACTCACCGAAGGATAGCAATTCGTCTGATGACTCTAGTGAGCAATAACTGCCCCAACGAAATGCGCATTTGTAACATGTAATGTTTTGTTCGACGTGAAATGTGTGTTGCGCAGCAACACAGTGTCAAAACATATTCCACACAATATCCAGAGCACCAAAGTATTAAACGCCTTGTCATATTTCGCTGGTTTTTGATTCCAACGTTTTCAAGATACTGAGTACAACTTAGAGCATTGGTAAGTATATTTAATTAGTCAATGAACAATGATAATAAAACAGTTGTTTCGGTTTGCGCAGTATGAAATTTCATCACAGTACTTCTGTTTCTGGGCTCGAATTACTGAGGTTCTCTTGTCAAACTGCCGTTGGATATGTCGCTGCAGTCATAAATATCGGCAATCAAACAAATGCTTTTAGATTTTTAATGAACCATTCAAGTAGGTGATCACGTGGCTTTAGCGACATTGCTAACCTTTAAGAGCAATAAGCTGCCAAAATTATAATAGTACTAAAATTCCTACAAACGTGGCTTCGGTATACTTCACACAGCTGCAGAGGAAGGAACGCCAGCTGCTATCAAGATGCATGATTTGCTTTTGAAAACGCATAACGAAGTCGCAGAACATTGGTATGCTATTGAAGGGATGCGATGGATTAACCAGAGAGCTGATCTCAAGATACTAACAAAATCTGTCACTTAACTAATACTGAACATGTTTAATGTTCATGCTTATGAAAATTAGGATTACCACCACACGAGTATAATATTCACCTTGCTAACAGGCGGTATGACAGTACTTACGAGAGTCGTAAATTATAACTAAAGTTACATACAAGAACACTACATCAGGAACGTTATGCTGAAGGCCAGTAAAGAGCCGCTCGGGTCACATGGGTATGCATTTTAAAAGGTCAACAACCAGTTGCCAAACAGTTTAGTGCTAAAATAGGTCAGGTCGGGTTAGTATTAACTCGGTTTTCAACGTTTTGAAGGTACTCACTCAAACGCATCAAGTGACGGAGGGTGTGAGCCACACGAGAGAAGTGTCATTATACAAATTTTATGAGAATATCTTGCTATTCTCACACTAGTTTCGCAGTCACTGGTACGGCAAATGTCGTTCAAGCCGAGAAATATTGGGGTTTCAAATGGAACAGTGCATCGTAAGCATGTAGCATTGGTGGTTAATGTCAAATTGGTCTGCGGTTAGCATACAGTGTTCCGTAAGTAGTATGTATGAATGCCAATCTATTCGCATGAGTTTTCTGCGATGGTGGCGTCATCATGTAGTTTGCAGTCTCTTACCTGAACTGGTTTGACTGAACATCGTTCAAATGTTGGGAACCGAGTTAAAGCTGACCCAACCACACCAGTTTAACTATTCAACTGCTTGGCAGTTGGTTGCTGACCTATCAAAGTGCATAGACAGAGAGGGTTGCATTGATCAGGAAAAGAGACGGAGTTTCTTTAAAACTAAGCATTCTATTTGTTTAAATTTGAGAGAGATCTTTTTGAACTTGGCAGACAAACCTGTCTCATTTAAGATGCTACCACTGAACTAACACTATCGATTGCTATTGATTTAGAGCGACGATTAGAAGAGGGAATTGATAAGAATTATCTACGATTTTTGATAACGGAAGGCTCCTCCTTATCCGTTGCGCGTTGTCATGATAAGGATTATGTTTAATTAAGAATACCTTGATGTTAATGAGGTACACAGACATTCGCTTACTTTTTGTAGATCGACTATAAATTGATCATGTAAAAACTGAAGTGGTGAGGTTAGATGTTGTTACAGCATACCTTTCTATATCGCAATAACTCCGAATTTACGGGTGAAGGTAGTGTCTACACTTTGGAGATAAATTTGCAACTAGAAACTTCCAAAATGTCCATAAAATCCTGAAAATATCCTACTACAACAATGCAACATATATCTACGGAGTTATTTAAGGTCACTCCTTTATTGGCCGCTAAAGTGAACATGTATCTTTGATATATTCAATTGCCCAACTATTCGAGAATGTTTAAATCAAAAACCGGCTAACTGCAATTTCTTAATGCGTTAAAAATAATAGTTTCTGTGGAAACAGCTTTTGATACTGGCGTTAATTAGCTACTTTGCATTTTTTTAAGCAGCGCAGATGTCAGGTTGATCTGTTGTCAGCACATGCTCAACTTCAAGAAACAGGCGAGCCGCAGAACTCAGCCAATGTAAAAGTAGTCAAAAGTAATCTTGAAAACATACACCGCCCGTTGAGCACTGTCAAAGAAACCCCTCCATATGGGGAATCACTTCAAGGAGAAGATGCGATACATGAAGAAAACTGGGCCGAGTTTAAACACAGTGCCGTGAAGGAAAACACTGGATACAGTAGTGACGCAGCTCCTGTCAATACTTTAAATGTGAAAGAAAGAAAATCGCCAAGTGAATCACCTCAACTTACTGTGAAACCGGGCGCAAACAATGAGAAGTACCCGTCCAACTCCCATCTAAATACAGCGCAAGAAATTCAAACTATACCAAGGACATCACGGACACTTTCCTTACTCCCTGCTTTGAAACGGACTCAAGAGATTGAGAATGATTTAGAACGAAACCCCGTGGGTCAACCTTCATTGATATACCATACTCCTTCCAAGGAGTTCGTTGTTCATAAACCTAAGCAATTCACACCTATCAGCCCAAGAAGTAAGTATACTTTCCATTTGCTTTTTGGTGTGTGATAGTTACGTTTACTAGTAAAAGGCACCAGCTAAACAAGGTGTTAGCGGAATCCAAAATTCGGAAGCAAGAAAGGGTGTTCTACCAATCCTTTTATCCGTATGTCACCAGCTAGTATATGGTGCGGGAAACTCGGTCAAATAATTATGATAAGTATATTGGGTAATACGGACTAGTACTCATAAAGTTGCAGCATGGAAGTTAAAAAAACAAGTTTCAGTTCTTCACTGGATTTTGCACGGAGAGAGTCGATGAAAACGTAAGTTAATGTTCGTGAAATCGCAGAAATTAGCAGGATATGCATCATACAGCCAAGCTTCTTATACAACATAACATAATGATTAAACCAAACTATACTATTTACTAGTGAAACTTGAAATGGGTAAAATATCAACGAATTTGTGCAAGTGGGTTGAGAATTACCATGTCCCAACTCAAGAATTTTACTCAAAGCATACTTAACACGTTATGTAGACGGAATGACACAAATTATTTGGTAGCGTTTTTACAAAGGATTAAATTTTCACCTGCATTTTCTGCTTACCTGCCGATGTACAATGTGCATTTATTTATAACGAGTAGAACAGCGATTGTTTGACAAGTAAAGTATTATGACCAGAGTGACGATTATAAACTAAACGGCCTAAATGATCGCAAAATGGGCAACCGTTGGATTTAATCTAACCCTTCTAGTCATGCAATCGAACCCATACGCTGGTCTTCTCACCGCTATAGAGCAGAAACGGTTGATGAGCACATTCTTCGTGCGCGTTATTCCGTCACCGAAGTGGGAACTGATTATATCGTGCAAGCCAAATAGAATAAAATGTGATCTTGTCGTAATTTGTATTGTGGTAATATGGGCGTACATACCCTGAATTGGAAGCGCGTTCCACGTTCGGGATACCCAAAGGGATAGACTTTCGTCAGCAATCAGGCCGATTATAGTGCACGGTCAGTTTGATTTGGTGGCCTGTCGAATTAGTATTATTACTTACTTACTACAGAACATGACATTGTGGTTGGAGTTTGCCAGTATTAACTACACAATGCTGAGTTTTCCACAGTGACACCGCTATTCCTTGCCGTACACCTCTAGGGTTTGCGGTCTGTGTTTACAGGACGCGAAAAACCATCAGCTAATGTTTTTCCTCGCTCTAGGTCCTGAAGCCTTATGCGAAAAGTCATTATGTTTACTGCAGAAACGCGAGGTTGGATTGCGCACTCCATTTAGGCGTCCAGCATTTGTACAAATATAGGTGACTCGAACATCCGGAACGCCTTCTGTAGGGTGTCAAGTTGATGACTGCCTATTATCGATGCTCTTTCAATCTGTTTCGAGCATTCAAGATCAACTTGCGAAAGTACGCCGAGATTGCTTTCTGTGTGGCATTTTTTAACCATTGTTGTCTCAGCAGACATTGTTGAATACACCGCTGGTGTATGCTCAAAACATTGCATGCTTGGGGTCTGATTAAACGGAAGCTGGCTTTCCGATGACCACTATAGGTCGGGTCAAGATCGTTCTTTAGTGCTGCTTGCTTAAAGTCATGTCATTTCTTGATATCGTTTGTAAATAGTAGGAAGTTCTACTGGATCACACTAGAAAGATGGCAGATGAAAACCATGAAGAAACGGGGTCCCTGTACTGATCTTTATGGTATGCCACCCTTGACCACAATTGTATCAGAAATAGCACTACCAACCCTAACACTCCTGTAATATTGAAGGAGAACATGGTTTATGCTACTCAAAACGGGGTCACTAATACCACAGCTTTGAAGGTTGTTACTGATCTTGCGGTGATCCATGGGATCGAAGGTATTTGGGACGTCCAGGTAGATGACGTCAACTCCAAATCTATCTCGACCGGCTCCGTTCAGTTACCTCGGGTTGGCAGCAGATGTGTAGTGTGAGACCGATATCGGCGAAATTCCTGCTGCTGTGACAGTATGCTGTTGCTGATTTCAAGGTATTACCTAACGGTTAAGTTTTGCTGAAACGCATTGGCTGCTGTAATTATCACCGGGCTATCTGTTGCGGGTACAGCTAAGATTCTGTGCTGCACTTAGCGATACTTCGTGGCGTGCATGTACAGCAGTTTAGGATCAGTGCTGCATTTTGCATCCCGGTTTATTGATGCTGAAGTTAATCTTCATGCACTACATTGGCGCTGTCGTTTCGTCTAGTTATGTGCGTACTACAGGGCTGCACGCCTGGGCAGGCATTTTAAACGCACCAGGCTTAATCACTTGACACTGTGCTTTGTCGATCCGGATCGCTAGGAAGGGCTTCGTTTGCGTCAGCCTTGTGAGTTGAGTTTCCGTGGTACCTGCCACTAGCCCGATGAACTAGGTGACAAGCACCCTCCAGGTGACGTCGGGAGGCTGCTCACCTAGAAAGAAGTAGCTGGTTGCTTGAACCAGGGCTGACTGCACGCCATAATGGTTGACGGCGTGGTTTACCTTATGGTTTCGCAGGTGTATTTCACGTAGTAGATGTAACGGAAGAGCAAATTTGCATGATCTTTGCGGCCAAGTGCTACATCTATGGTCAGGGTATCGACAATCATTTCCTCGTTAATGAACACAAGGTCTAAGACATGGGGTTCGTGGCCTGTTCTGAATCTCGTGGATGCGGTGAGCTCGTTGAAAATCGGCCAACTGACGACAGTCTCTTGCAAGCCGGACTTAAATAGTTCATGGAGAGAAGCTGTAATTTCTGTCGTGGGCAGGTTGAAGTCCGCCACGTGAACGACGTAAGTGTATTGTCAAGTCACGATTCTTATCACAACCGACGCTAGGCGTTGATCCGTCTCACAAATGGAACCTTAGTGAGCGGTAAACTATTGTTGGTCAACACACATCAGCAATTCACAAGAGAAGACGGTACCATAGAAAATAGACAAAATGCAAGCTGCATCATCCATGATATCGATATACAGGTCAGATCGACGAGACAAGAGTAAGTTTAATGGATTCGTCCCAGCAGCTCACAAGCAACCCAGCGCAAACACAATCCGGTAAAGCACCAGAGGCGTTCCACTCTGTTGGGGCTCGTCAGTGGTTCCCATTCCCTCGGTCTCCTACCGCGGATCAAACGCATGACCGCTAGAGGCTGACGTCAACTATTCATCAGCTTAAGCCACAAAACCATATGGGACGGTAGCTGGGCTGCATAATTTCAAGCTAACTGGTGGGTAGTGCGAACAGTCTTCCACAGCCACGCGGTTTACTACCTTTTCAGAAGACAGAAACCAGCCTCCGAAGTTTTGACTTTTCTCACTAGATGCTATGTCCACAGCAGTTAAAGGAATGCATGACCATGGAAGCTAGCCGCAGTCCTCTGCAAACGTAGTAATCTGCGTGACAGTGAAAGCGAAGTCTCACTATGTCCCTAGTTAGCATGCAAATTACGTAGCCCAGCCACCTTCCCATATAGTTCAGGGGCTGAAGTTGCTAGATAGTTGGCGGCAGCCACTGTAGGTCCAGCAATAGCGAACAATAGGCGGAGTGCGCGCCGTCTATCCTATGGCGTGCAATATAGTCCAACCACACATGAAGGCGTTGCTACTTCCGCCACAGCTTATGCGTTGTGCAATACGGGCCACCAGAATGGTTCAGTACGCTACCATCGTACTCATCCCCAGGCTGCTGAACCATAGTACCACAAGGAAATGGCTGGCGAATCAAAAGTATCGACCGTTTCAGTTGGTGGTTTGCTTGTTCGTCCGCACTCGTAGACGAGTAAGCTTCCTATGTAAATATTTGGGGTTTGCTCATCCCAACACTGGCACGCCACGACTGCGTTTTCGTCCTGGTCTGGACGCTTGAGCGGAGATGGCCTGAGCTGGGGTGGAACTCACAGCCTAGTATCTCACGGCTGACGCCTTGAACACTATGCTACTGAGATCTGCGAGCAACGCTTGGTACAGTCGAAAACAATTCATTGTTGGATTCAGGGATCCCGCTGTGTGATTGGGTTGTCACTCACAACCTCTATTGAGACTTCGATTCACTTTGAGGTAAACCTCGGTTATTCCGATTGCGAGGACCGTAGCCGCATGAAAATATTTGGGGGTTGCTTTTTAACACAGGCACACCACGACTGTGGTTTCGTCCTGGTCTGAACTCATCAGGTAGAGATAGTCTGAGCTAGGGTGCAGCTCAGAGCCTAGTATTTCAGGACTGACGCCCTGGACACTAATCTGCTGCGATCCGCCAACAACGTTTGGCACAGCGAAAAACAATTTGTGTGGTCGACTGCGTCATATCCCTAGACTGGCCTACAGGTGGTGCAGTTTGGACTGCAGTCTGCACTTCACATCGAACACACCAAGGAAAAGAGAGACAGTGTGACGCCGAGCACACGTGCAGTCGTATGGAAGTTTGCTGTCAAATACAAAGTGTCGTGTGGAAGGCTTTTATTTATGGCGAACACCTCGGGTTTTCTTTAAACGCGCATTGGTGTGGCAAGTACCTTGCTGTGGACCCAGATTTTTCGGACTATCTTTTTGCTGTGTGCTGCTGGACGAATACGTTAAATTTACATTCACAACCCTCCTACGTATAAATAAAATGCAACAGTACACGATTTGCTCTGTTAGTTCTATAATTCCTTATGTAGTCATACCGGCCAGAGCTAGCTCTGCATTAGTAATCTTAGTTATCAGCCGTTTTAAGTTTTCCTAACGATGTCACAATATTTGAAAACCAAGCGAATGAGAATGTCAGCCTATTTTTGAGGGACCTGTGCGTTGTTATAAAAGCAGGTGAGGGTTTCACATTTTCATTGCAGAGTTGGGTATGTGGCTTCCTGCTGTGGGTTGAGGCCGACTCTTTTAGGGCCCGCTGTCCGTCGTATTCTGTTAAAATGCATTAGCAGGTTTTGGTGCGACTCCAGTTTCCTAAATAGAGTTCTCAGTAAATGGCTGAAATCCTTGATCTAATTCAACTGACATAGTTTTC